CAAGCATCACTTTAGCCTAAGCACTTTGATTTCAAAGAAAGATGAAACTGTTAGAATGTATTGGGACCATCCATATACTATACTACTAGTGTAAAGACACATTATTTTATGAGTATCCAAGTAAAGATGGATAGAAGTATTAGTATTAGTGTATTACCTTATGTGATATGGTACTTATATTTAACTTGTAACCCATCAACCAACATCATAAAATTAGTAAATAGTCAGGTGTTTTTTTATTAAATTTATGAGAGGGTTTTGATTGATTAAAGCCCTTTGGTGTTTCCAATAGCAAATTTTTCTCTTATATATATATATGTATATATATCACAAGGATAGCCATGCCACCCACCTCTCCTTTTTTCCTTTCTCCAAAACCATCTTCAGTTTATCTCTTTCCCCTTCCCAGCCCTCTCCTTAATGTCACATCACCAAGCTCCCCATTTTTCTTTCTCCTTTCCCTTTTCACCCTCATTTCCCACTATATATTATTTTTCCCTTTTATGTGGAAAGTTACCGCTTTTATTAGGAAACTCTGCAAAATTTCCTTCTTTTTTTTGTTTTAATTGTAATTGCCCAACCCCACTTCCCAGTATAGGTTACTTCCCTCTCTTATGTGGGAAGTTGCTACTTCTCATAGGAAACTCATAATGACAATAGGAAGCCAAGTCACTTCTGAATTGTTAGCATCCAATCTATCTATAGTCCAAGTCATAAGATTTATGCCTTTTTTAAAACTTTTCATTTGAGGTCTCTCAACCAACATAGATGACCAAAGTTGCTGGGATAATAAATCTATATCCCAGCAACATGAATTGAATTGTTTTTCTTGTTGCCAGTTCCAAAAACAAACCAAAACCATATTGTTTCATGTTCATGGTTGTGTGTATGTGTGTTTATTTGTTTCAAAACTGGAATCCAAAAATGTTCTTGAATATAGTTTTAAAAACATGTTTTCATATGATTATTCAGCATCATGTTTCATATATCATACAATTTCTGTACTAGAAAATTAGTTTTTGTTTTAAAGACCAATGTTCTGATGGTTCCAAAATAACTTGTTTTTCTCTATGAAAACAAAAACCGAGTTCAAGAACATGCTTTTGTTTTTGTTGATGTGGCAATTCCAAAAACAAATGAAAACAAAACCAATCATGTTATAGAATGCCTCTTATATAAAATGGATATTTGCTTTAGATTCCATACATATCATAAAGTTAAATCCAAATACCATATATCTTATACTAATCGGGACCCATGCGGTGCACGGGCATTATTAAGGGAAATTGAGAGAAAAGGAACCTTATAATAGGTAGAGCAATTGATTATACATCTTGCTAATGTATTATGGTCTAACCACTATGATTTAAACAGTTGGTCTCTTCGTCCTCAACCCAAAGGTAAAAATGGTTCAGCCTTTGAATCCATTTTTAAAACACTTATTATTAATAGTAAATGCATAAATAATAATGAATGCAAAAATTAGTAAAATTACTATTATTACTAATAATAAAAGATTGATATAAAGAAAAAATTTCTCTATTTCAAGCCAATATGCTAGCACGGTTAATCAAAATTTTAAAGTATTTTGGTATCAACAGCTAAGCAAAATTCAAAATTTCAAGCAACAAAATAGCACATGACTTCTAACAAAAACAAATAAACAATGAAAATAATTATGAGAGGCGACCTGCTTCCACTGACCTGACCCAAGTTCAGCTAGCGACTTGCCTAACGCTTCACGTGACCTCCTCCTTAAGCGGGCTATTGTCTCTGACTTCCCCGGGATCACGACATCATGTTGGAAGAGCTGGTTATCACCTCACCCGCTTTGGGCGCGACTGGATAAGCACTACCCGGTTATGGGAGTCCACCTCTAGATGTGAAACCACCTCCGAACCAGATGGGCCAGAGATCTCGGATACGCTTCATGAGCCTCACGACATTCTACGCCTATATAAAGACGTCTCCCTCAATCAAAAGAGGTATGTGTAGATTAACTCTTATAGTTCTCTAGCTCTCTCACTTTTTAGCTCTTTCAAAACTCTTCGTTGACTTAAGCATTGGAGTGCCCACCTCGGGAAAAGTAATCCGGACACTCTGATCTCTTTCTTTGCAGCTCAGCTAGGCAATCTACTCAGTTTGGCGCCTGAATTGTCTGCTAGTAGGAAGCACCGGATTGCACACCATCAAGTATCAAAAATAAATAAATCAAAGCAGCAAATAGGTGATCTCAATTTCTCTCTTTTTTTGGGAGGTCCTTCTATTCAAATCCTAAATTGCTTAAATTAAACATAATTGGAACTACACACTAAACAAAAGAAGAAGAGATGATGATTTATAAAAGCAACACAATCCCAAATCATTTTTAACAAACCTTCTTCTAGGAGTTTGAACTGAAATATTAACGAAATACATGGATAGCATACCTAACTTTGAGGTAGAGGCCAACATCATGGAGAGAGTTGGAAAAAATATAGAAACAAATTCAATACATGACAAGAAAGAAAAATAAAGAAACATATAGTAGAAGGATCAAACAACCATTTGAAAATCTATAGAAAGAAATTAATCCCATATGTGATAGAGGAGAACACTGCAAAACATGACAAATATACTCAAAGTTAGAACATAATGAGGGCCTACCTTAGAGATTAGACCATAGATGCCAAGAGACCAAACTTTAAACATTGTAATACCAAAAAAGACAAAGAAAGGACAAAATACGATTAGCAGATTCTAGAGAAACAAAAACATAGTTTAACTCTTTATAATTTGAGAAAGGAAAGAAAAGGGAAATTCTTAGAGAAGCCGAAAAGGGGGAAAACGAAAAAAAAAGAAGAATATAAACCATAAAATATGAGAGATGGTGAGCTCTAATATGTGCATGGGCGCACACTTGCTATTTCACATGGGGTATTTAAAAGAGAGGAAAAGTTGTGTATCTGTCTTGAAGAACGACTTGAGCTTTGAGTTGAAGCATGTGTCTTGGAGAAAGGATGACAAAACCCACTCTGTTTGCAAAATCCAAATGAAATCAGAAAATGGAAATGAAAAAAAAAATCAAAATGAAGAAATTGGGAGTTGGAAGAAAAAATGATACTAAAACTAGGAGGTGGATGAAGGATTGAATGCAAAACTAAGCATGTGTCTTTTGGTTTCGCTTGGTTATAATTACATGGAATAAAAAAAAGAAAATTAAAAAATTTAAGAAATTAGGAAAGGGGTGGGAGAGAAAGAAGAGACATGGTACGTCCAATTTTATTATAACAATGATCAATATAAAAGGGTAGCTTGGACATTTAAAAAACTTTAAATAGTTGAATGAAATTTTTTGGAAATTAACTGACAAAACATTCACAGGAGGGGGTTTTGTCTAACAACTAAAGTTCAAGAGGGTCTTTGTCTCAAAAAAAGTATAGGGGGGACTTTGTCATATTACAAAGGGGGTCTTTGTAATTTACCCTATTATATATATAGATTGGGCTAATACTTGCTTGCACTCTTCATAGAAATAAATATATTTAAAGTTGGGCTAAGTTGGATTGGATTGATCATAGGGATGCAAAATGGACCGGGTCGGATTTGAATCAAGGTATATTCGAAAAACCGATACGACACTGTTCATATCAGATCCGATCCAATCGGATTTGATAGGATTTGATTTGAAATCGAATCGTAAGTTAGATCTTCGGATCTGATCTGACTTGTTTTCTTTAAAAATTAATAAATTATTAAAAAAATAAAATATATTAATCTAAATAAAATAAAAACAAAAATACAAGTATTTTTTTAATTATTTCCTTCATATATATACATATTTTTATAAAAATAAATAATATAATAAAATTATAAAATATAATATAAAAATATTTATAAATAAATAACATATATATATATATATATGTATTTACTAATAATACATATCAGTACTTGTGACCTGACCATCAGATCAGATAGAGGGATAATCCAAATCTAATCCAAAAAGCCGAATGAGGGTGACCTAAATTCAACCAAATAGAATCCGATCGAATCATGATTTAATCCATTTATACCCCTAGTTGATCAATGGCTCAATTCTATGCCTTATCCAATCATCAACCTGACCATCGGGTTAACCCAGCCCAAGCTGCACCGCGGTCCCAGCTCTTTCCTCTCATCAGATCTAGAAATGGCTACGGGGCGAGATTGGGGTCGGAGTGGGGCGAGGACTTCATTCCCATCCCCGACCTCAACCCGTATCCTGATCCCCATCCCTATCCCTTCCACCAAAACAATCCCACAGGGACAGGGTTGGGGAGGTCGGGTACCCGCTGCCCGATAGGGATAGGGACATCCCTAATCAGATCCGTGTTTTCTCCAACAATTCGAACGGATTTACGGTTTACCTGACCGCAACGTGATTACGTGAAACGTGAACCACCTAACTACCTACCATCACATGTTCGTCCACGATGTTTGATGGTTTTGGTGGGACCACTTATTCACAGAAAATCAAAATCGAACATACAACAGTTATCCGTACACCAGTACGGAGTATCGATAAAGTCCATAGGATAGGATAAAGAATCTCTGTCCCACTATCTCATCGGAACCCATCATGATAGTTGGTCATCTATAATGAATAGAAGTTTACGATTATGAAGATGTTCTATATGCACGGCTGAAACATCTTGTGGGATCTGTGTGAGACGCGTCCTCTAAGCAGCAAATCCGAACTCAAATGTGACGATACGGATAAATTTTGTTGTAACGTATTAGAAAAGTATTTTATTGTGAGATGTTCTAGATGCACGGCTAAGCGTGTTGTAAGGTTGGTGTGAGACGCATAGAGCAGATAAAAAAGGATTCGAGTCCAACTGTCGAAGTGCTATCAATGCATATACGATTTGACTGGCATCTCATCACTACGAGGACAAGACAGCAGTTATCTATGAAATTTGAAACGAAAAGATTCTAATCCAACGGTTAACATTTTAGGAGTAAAATTAGAGCTGTAGTCTCTTAGTTGTTCAGACTTCGGAGCAAGAAAGAAGGTATCTCTTCCTTCTTCCTTCTCTGGCAATCCAACTACTCCCGTTCCATTACCAGACAAGCTCTATTCCTGCTTCTGCAAGTCTCTGCATCAGCAATTCGGGAGGAATCTTGTCTTGTTTGGGTTAAAAAAGAATTAAAGGAGAATAGCAAATATAAATTGAGACAACACCTCAAAGAACGAACCCAGAACAAAATTTCTGTCAGAGAACAGAAGTTCTAAAATGGGTTTTGGTTTTTGGTTGTCGAGTAAAATAGTTTTCTCTTGATCTTAAAAAAGGGGCTTCATCACAAAGGGTGTACTGTTTTCTCCTGCTCAGATCACTTGATTCCTTGGTGGGTCTTCTTTGAGAATTCCAATCATGAAGATTCGGATGTTCCCATGGTTCAATAAGAAGGTCGTTGATCCTCTTGTGCAGATTCTTCGAAGGTAATCTTTAGGGCTGTGAAAGTCTCTGCTTGATTGAATTTGGTGCTATTTTGATCGTTTTATTTTTACTGCTTGAAGTAGAACATTTTGTATTTATTTTCTCAGTTCTGATCGTGCATCTGCAAAATATTCTCTCTTTTGAAATGTAATCTTCTTGCAGTTTGAATAATTCTTTTCTCAAATTATTTACTTAGTTTCTAAATTCTGTATCTTCGCAGTTTTGAAGTGCTTATAAAATATTTTGTCATCTTCGTATTATAGATTTTTCAACTATTATGGAATTGCATAAGGAACTTTTCTAATGGTTGCAGGGGGAAGGTGTTCTGGTTTGTTTTCTTTCTCGTATAGTTTGATTGGTTAAGAAATTCAGTAATTTCTCACATGGCATCTACACTTTGGCAGCGATGAATTATTGTTATAGTTTCTACTTTGAGGATTGAACTTTCACTAATTTTTCTTCTAGCAATACTTTGTAGGGGGGCAGAGCCGAAGCAATTGGCATTTTCTGTAGCTCTTGGACTTACCTTGGGAGTTTTCCCCATCTGTGGTATGTTGTTTTTTTTGAGAATTTGGGATTTTCCTTTTTCTTGCTATTAAGTTCTAATGTATATAACAAATTTCGCAACAATTTTATTGCATTAGAATCTAAAATGACTTCAATTAAACTACTTCAATTTGAAAGAGGTAACATGAATGCATTGTGACATCGATTATTTAAGGTGAACTTTAATCCAGCCTATCTGAAACCATCTAGTCATCTTGGGTTTTCTAAAAGGTGTAGAAGATCTAGATTTTGATCTTAGTGAATTTAATATGTCAGTTTTACATTTAAACTATAGGAAGGTCATAACCAAAAGAAGGTTCTTTACATTACTCTCCTCTTTCCAGTTTCAAAACTGAGGAAAGAATTAATAAAAACAACAGTACGGATGCCAAAACAAACACAGGCATAAGTTAGCTTTGTACCATTGTTGTTTGCAAACCAAATTTCTGATGTAAAGGACATCAGAAACACTTAGGCCAATTTAGTTTCTATATCATAATCATTGATGTAAAGCAATGTCAAATTTTCTTAGTTAGTTTTGAGGATTTATTGATCATGGTGATTCAAATGTGATCTGAGCTCCTCTCTTGTCAGGTTCTGAGACTGCTTTACTCTATGATAAATTAGAGATTGGGAGGAGCTCCATGTTGATGATAGGATGAATGTTTTTTTGGACCTGAGGGAACTGTGGTTGGTGTGTTTGGCAGGTCCAGGCAGGTCAAACGGGTCAACCCATGGCATCATTGTATTCTATATATATTGCATAAAATATATATTATTTTAGGTTTGATTTATATTTTTATTTTAGTTTTAAATTTTTTATAAATTAAGAAAACAAAAATTAAGCTTGGAGGCCCTCAAAAGGTGTTTTTTTTGGCAAAATTACTGCGCCAAGATGCCTATGGCCCCTTTTGTTGCAAAGATAACAAAAAGTTACCCGAAATATAAAATCCCCTGATCTGACCACTGAGAACAAAGTTGTGGCCTCCAGAAGTTTTTACACCTCTTCACTTTAGGTTTTTATTTATTTATTTATTTTTTGTGGATGGGCGAGAGAGATTCATAATTTTTTTTCTTTTCTACCATCTAGAACATGAAAAAGGCACCCCAAGAGCTGGGGTCACAATTCTCCAACATCCTATTGGATGTTATGGCCTCTTGAAGTTTGCATATATATTATTTATTTTCAGGTTTAAATTTTTAATGACAAAAACTATATGTGTATAGTTATATATGCAGAAAAAATACATTCATAAATACATAATTTTATAGATACCCTCACATACATAGATATAGGTGTTTTTAAAAAGTTTAAACATTAAAATGAAAAAAAAGCATATATTGTAATTTGTAACTTGTGACCTGCTGACTGGGTCAAACAGGTTTATGGTTCAACTGCCTAGGTCAGCAAGTTGCCATCCAAGTCAACAGTTTTTAAGTAATGTCTGGTTTAGGGTTAACCAAACCGGAACCATGACCTAGTAACGGGTTGAATGGGCCGACTGTCCCTGGTCAATGACAGGTTGAAAAAACTGATGAGTGGATAAATACTGTGAAGCATAAACCTGATGAGTTATTGGAGCGATACAAGGGTAGGTGGTGGCATTAACTACCAAAAGACGTTTTCTCCCATTGCCCAGATTAATTATATTCAGGTTTTCTTATCCATTTCTGCAAATTTGTCCTGTTTCTTTATCATGTGTATGTAAAAAATGCTTCTTACATAGAGATCTACAGGAGGTGTAAATGAGAATTTCACTTGACATTAATTTATTGAATGCTAAAGTGAAAGTTTGTAGGCTTAAGAAATTACATAGGGCTTGGCCTGAGAGACTCAGTAGCGCTGTGAAATAATTTTATATAAAGTGAGTTGTCTGAAAGCAATGTGGTTCAGACCTATTTAGCAAGGAGAAGTCAGAAATGAAGAAGAAAACAGAGATGAAGAGAAGGGAAGAAGAGAGGAGGAAGAAAGAATAGAAGAAAAGGGTTCAGACTTTTTTAGTTTTCCGCCCCAAGTGCTATTTATATTAGGCCTATAATAAAAGAGGTACAATAACAGGAATACCTCTGTCACTAGAAACAATAGAAAAGAGTATTCTAACAGCAATATAATCAAAGGAAACATATGAAGAGGTGGGACCACAAGCTGGTTAATCATTTTCTCTACACTCCTCAAGTTAGGAAAATATATTTATCATTCCCAACTTGCTTAATTCTGTCTCAAGCTTGATTCTGTTGACTGCCTTGGTGAAGACATCAGCAAGCTGCATATTAGTGGCAACATAAGGAAGGCATACTTCTTAAGAGGCAACTTTCTCTTGGATGAAATGTCTGTCAACTTCAATGTGTTTGGTTCTATCATGCTGTATTGGGTTGTGAGCAATGTTAATGGCCGCCTGGTTATCACAATACAACATCAAGGGCCTTTCAAACTCAATTCCCAATTCTTTAAGGAGAGATTTCAATATTTCAGCAACACCATTAGTCATAGACCTGTATTCGGCTTCAGCATTGGAGCGAGCAATAACATTTTGTTTCTTGATCCTCCAAGAGACTAGATTTCCTCTAACAAAGGCACAATACCCTGAAGTAGATCTCCTATCATCAATACAACCTGCCCAATCTGCATCAATGTATATTTCTATTTTAATATGGCCATTATTTTTAAAAAGTATATCTCGGCCTTACTTCTTTACTTCCTTCTCCTTACCACTTCTAGTCTTCAGTTTTATGGCTGCTAAAGCTGATTCCATAGATGGAATTTGTAACATAACTTTTCTCCTACTTTCCTCACTATGTACCAAAGAGTAGGAGAAGTTGTTATTTTACAATGTCATAATCAGAGTTTAGCCCAGCTAGGAATTGAAACACTATTTTCCTCAACTAATTTCTTGTATGTGGCCGCATCTTTCTGGCTCTCCCACTCAGTAGCCTCAAGATGATCAATCTCATGCCACAATGATTTCAAGGTGGAGAAATAAATTGACACAGGTTTCTCCCCTTATTTAAGATTATTCACCTCAATAAGTTTCTTTCATATTGTCCCTAATCTCCTTAACTGTCTTTGCCCAAAGATAGTTTCTACTGATATGAGGCTGCATAGAATTGCATAACCAAGTCATAACTAGATAATTTTCTTGGACCCATTTAGCAAGGGAAGGGTCCTCCTGATTTGGTTTCCTTGTGTCTCCCATCACATACCCCAGTTTTTCCCTTTCTCTAATGGCCATCATGGTTGATTGGGCCCATTCCAAATTGTTTGTTCCATCAAACTTGACTATAGTAATCTGAAATGAACTGCTGTCAATAGAATTTTCAGCTCCTACAAGTCCTCCATATGATTTATTCTCATTTCCAATCATTTCCACGCTGTAATGAACAATAGATATTCACAGAAGGGAAGGTACAGCACTGTCCAACTCCCTTTTCAACAAAAAAAAAAAATTCAAGTACTGTCTAACAACACCCGGAATAAAAAAATTCAGAGGCTTTTCTACAAACACAAGGTGGGTGGCTGAAGTGAACAAAACTGTCAACAACTCAGCCCAGAAGCACCGTCTGCAAAGAAACCCAAAAAAACAGTCCAAGAGAAAAGAAATCAGACAGCTGATCCCCTCCTAGAGGATTCCAAAAAAATTCAGACGTCTGTCAAACCTAAAGGAATGAAAAAAGCCCAAAGGATACCAAAAAACTTCAGACGTCTGTCAATCCAAAAGGAATGAAAAAACAATCTAGAAAGTACTGAGTGCCACTCCCAATCTCTGATTTAACCCTTAAATCAGAAACCGACCTGTTTTCTCTGATTCTTCCTGGTCACCGGGCAGCTCTCTAAGTTTTCCGAACCTTGGGCATTTTCTTTAATCACCAATGGCCTCCAAGACCCAGGCGAATTAAGCTGAAACTTCCAGCCCTAGAAATGCTCTCATGTAGCTGGCTGGACTACACCTACATGAGAGCCCTAATCAGTCTTAGGCCTGCTCTGATACCAAGTTGTCTGAAACCAATGAGGTTCAGACCTATTTAGCAAGGAGAAGAGGAGAAGCCAGAAATGAAGAAAACAGAGATGAAGAGAAGAGAAGAGAAGGGAAGAAGAGAGGAGGAAGAAAGAATAGAAGAAAAGGGTTCAGACTTTTTAGTCTGCCACCCCAAGTGCTATTTATATTAGGCTTATAATAAAAGAGGTACAATGACAGGAATACCCCTGTCACTAGAAACAACAGAAAAGAACATTCTAACAGCAATATAATCAAAGGAAACATATGAAGAGGTGGGACCACAAGCTGGTCAATCATTTTTTCTACAAAGTGATGCTGATCATACACTACTTGCAAGACACAATTCAGGAGAGGTTTAGAGACTAAAGATATTACTTGGTAGTGAGCTTGAAATAAAGGACCTAAGAGAGTTACTAACAGTTACAATTAGCTAATATCCTTACTAAGGGTGTTTCACATGTTTGATTGTTAGAGATGGGAAGAAAGTTGCGTATGATTAATATCTTTGCTCTAGCTTCACGGGGAGCATTGAGATATAGGAGTATTTCTTGTATTTTGTCGTTCTAGAGTTAGATGTCTTTATTTTAGTTTATGAGGAAGGCATTGTGGATTTTTTCCCTATTAATATGGTATCAATGAAATGAATATCTTCAGAAAAGGAGGCCAATGGAAAAATGACTCAGCATTTACTAAATCTCCTTTGGGTTTGTGTCTAGTATTTGGGAGGATGCAGGTGGAATCCTCCTTTCAAAGCTGTTTGACTGTCCATTCTATAGAATGCCAACAAAAAGAGGAATGGTACTGTGGAGATGCATTAGGGCAGATATCCTGTGGGTACTGTGGGAGGAATGAAAGCGATCTTTAAAGGGGAGTCAAGGATGAAAGAGATGCTGATGGAGAGCATAATGGTAAAAATTTTCATTGGGACAAATCCTTGGAGATATTTGGACCTTTTTCTATGGATGATTTTACAAGAGGATGGAGGGAGGTATTTCTGGTGGGTGGCAGTTGTGGGTGCTGGGGGGTTTGAAAGGGCATAGGTCTTGTTTGTTTGATGGTCAGGGTTTTATCGGGTTTTGTTTTGTATTGCTTTTGATTTCTTTTGTAAGGGTTTGGTTGATGAGAGGTCGGCTTGGGTGGGGTGTTTGGCCTGGCGGGGTTTTTACTTCAGTTGGGTCTCATTGGGTTGTTTCTTATCTCTCAGGTGATTGCTTATCACCTTCCTTGTATCTTCCTTTTGTTTAATAATTTTTTTTTTCTTTATCTTCAAGAAAAAAAAAGATCATCAATGACAAGAGCAATGGAGGCCACTGACAACACCTCAGCTTAAGCTGAACTTTGATGGATGTAGTCTTGGGAACCCAGGACCATTATGAATAGGAGAAGCTTATGGAGATGCTATGGGATACATTACTGAAATATTTGCTGGACCAATTGGTATTGGAGACTCATTAAAGGCAGAGCTAATGGCTTGTTTTGCAAGGACTGAGTAGGAAAGAATTTGGGTCTAAGAAATATAATAGTGGAATGGTTGAACTGTTGAAGAATAATAGTCAGGACTTTTGGCAACATAGGTACGAAATGAGGGAGATAAAACAGCTATCGACAGAAAGAGAGGCCACTTATCATTGGGTAAGAATATCAGCAAATTGTCTAACTGATTCACTAGCTAAGCAAGGAACATGAACATCAATGGGACAACTATCCTAGGATCAACTGTAACATATCATTGTGTACATGTAATATGGGGTTCTGGACACTTTCTTTTAGTTTTTTGGTACAAGTTCTGGGCACTTTGTAAAAGGGTATACAAACCTATGAGTTTGACTTTGTACATAAATGCTTTCTAATATCAATAAAATTTTCAGTATGCATAAAAAGGGGTATCAATGAAACACTTTCTTAAGGGATTGTGTAAGACACCTGATTCTCCTTGTGTTATTCTCTTATTCCCTTCCCTCTCTCTTCCTCTGTCTTCATAATCACAAGAGTATAAGCAGTTATATTTCTTTTCTGATAAACTGAATGCACCCCATAAAAGTGGATTTCAATTTAGTTTAACCCCTGCACATTTTCACCATAGGCTTGCTAGAGATGAAACCTAACTTTTTTGAAGGATGCCAGGATTTTCTTGGAGATTATAGGATTTTCTTATCTGAGTCTAAAATTTGCCTGATATTGACTATCCATTTGGGGGTTTCTGGGCTTGGTAGCTATATTTTTCTTTTCCCCTATTTGTTTGCAATCTTAATTTACTTACTCCAGGGTAGACATCCAAACAAGTGGTCAAAAGGGAGTTTCAACATGCCAAATTCCACTTTGCCTTCCAAGTTTTGAACATTAATGGTCAAATTTTAGTAATTACAAAATTACTATGGGTTAGGAAGATTCAACTAATATGGTGCTCAAATTTTAGTAATTAAAAAATTACTATGGGTTAGGAAGATTCAACTAATATGGTGCTCAAATTTTAGTAATTACAAAAAGGGGAAACACCTGAACATTGAACTGGAATTGTAGAAACTTGAGAAAAACTCATACTAAGCAATAATATTACTATTAGTAAAGTATGGGGAATCAAAATTGAATTTAATAAAACTGGCCTGGTAAGATCTTCCCTTTAATTTTCACGGGTTTGATTGAATCAAATGTAGTGTTTGTATCAAATGGTCTGAGCTTGATTTCTGGTTGAAGTTGAATTTTGTTGGATTTGTCAATCTTGTTTTGGTTTGTCGCAAAGTACAATGTACATGCAAAAACGAGAACCAAACAATTTCAGCATAGTTTAACTCTTGGGCATTTAGCCGGTGCAGTTTGAATGACTTATTTGTTTATAATTTGGTAGTTGGTTCTGAAATGAACTTGGCCATTTTCAGGGGTAACTGTGTTTCTTTGTGGGATGGCTATTACACTGCTTGGATCCCTCTGTCATGCTCCAAGTGTGATGCTTGCAAACTTTGTTGCTACTCCGATAGAGTTGAGGTAATTATATTATTGGCCCTTTTCATAAATCATCCGTTTCTCATTGTCGAATCAACTGTACTAAATGGATGAAGTGCCTATGTTTTTTTTTTGATAGTGAGGAATCATTTCATCAATATAAACAATAATGTACAAAGAGGAATAATGTTATGGGCCCGGGAATAGGACCGCGTCACGGGTTGGTCCACGGGGAAAAGCTCCTGTTTTCCCTTGTTCCTCCCCTTCCTAGCTGAACCTATCTTGGCGTCCTAGAGGGTGATTTGTCCAAGAGATCACCGAACTCTCCTTTTACTCTCTTTCTTGATTGGAAATTTGATATCTTTATTCAATAATTTCAGCTCCTTAAATAGGAGATTACAAGAGGTAAGAGTCCTTGTAGGAAGAC